GTGCGAGACCTGCTTTCAGGCAGTAATTCCTGTTTCTTCACTCGAGGTGACCCCTACATTAGCATAAGGAATGCTCTGAGGACTTTGATTGGTATTAAGTCCTTTAATTAGCTACTGTTAATTGGTAATTCTAAAGGAGTTTCTTTCACAAGATTGGCATTGTGTGGAGGTTTCTCTGATCTCAGGATCTTTTTGATCCTCCTTCTGCTTCATGAGGGAGGTTTTTCTGATTCTGGAGATCTAATTAGCTTATGAAATTTAGGATTGAGAGCTTACCTTTAGATTTCCTGTAGGTGACACTTTGGTCACTGTCAGGAGGTTTGGGGTATAGCTAATGGATAGTCGAATCGGGAATTAATTACTTTAGGCGTAGCTTATCTAGCCTTAAAGTAATGTCAAAATTAGGATTAAATAGGCTCCTATTTAATTTTAGGCTAAAATTTAGTTTAATTCTTATTTACCTTATTATTCAAATGAAAATTTTCAGCTGGACAATGTGTCTTTTATGCGAGATGTATGTATGTTTGATTATTTGTCGATTCTAAAGAATCGAAGGGGGGAATGTGGTATATTTTTATGTACTGTCCCTTTAAGACGGGAGCGCGCTTTCGAGCGGACACGCGCTCTTTGTCAGAGCCTCAGTAAACATCTCGCTGTACGGACCCTCTTCCATGTCTCTCGTCAATAAACATGTCCAGAAGCTGAAGAGATCGCCTTTTCGTCATTCAAATGTTAGCCTAGAGTTTTATTGACATTTGACAAGTCTTCAGGAAGACGCTCACTGGTTTTCATCAACCCAGCAGCCAGGAGCAGCAGCAAGCCACCGACAGCAGCACCAGCCCCAAAGCAGACGGTGAGCAGACAAAGAGAGTCCGAGCCACCGACAGCAGATGAGCAGACGAGAAGGGTCCAGCAGCTGACAAGCCCAGCAGAACTGAACCGAACCAGACCGAGACACAACACGCGCGTGCGCTATGATGCAGTTTACTTGGCATCTGAAAATACATTTCCTCAAAGGTATTTTAATCTGAGTGGGAACTAATGTGGAGAGCTCAGCAGACAGTTTAAGTTTCAATTTCACCCGAGAGCCTGCAGGAGTCATGGGCGGGGTGTGTGAGGAGGGGGGGGTGTGCTCTGCCATGAGGAAGTTCTGCTTAAAGACACGTCCCAGGGGCGTTTCTCATCCCCACCTGTCGTTTTGCTCCTCGGCATGGCTTCTTAAAAACGCTGCAGGATTTCTCAAACATACATGAATGAGTCAAAGCAAGGCTTTGGGCATGTTTTTATGAGAGTATAACTTTATAACATGATATAAAGCTCAAAATAGTTGATTTTACATGATATTGCCCCTTTAAAATGTGAAAATGTTTGTACTTTGTGCTGATGAGGTGGATGAAGAGACGGTACTGATGGTAGAACTTCTGATTTACTCAGCAGTTTCCAGAAATGTCCCTCTCTGTCCTGACTAAAGCAACGTTTCTGTTCTTTAATAAAACAAGCTGCTGAGTTTCTGAGTGAGCAGAGGTTATTTGTTCAGTTGATAAATCTCTAAAGATCCAAACGGAGCAACACAAACAACGAGTTAAAGACATTTCTGCAGACTGAAAACATGTTCAGTATTTTTCAAAATAAATTAAATGTTCAGTCCACTGAAGTTCTGACACTTTCTGCTTAGTGAGTATTTTTAAAAACCATTGGAGCACCGTGAACCGATCTAAGATCCAAACCTGCACCATGGACAGTCTCTACCTGAGACGCTACAACAAACAAACAAACTCACCTTTTTATCTTGCGTCTCCATGGCAACCCCGACTGCTCCACATGCTCCGCACCTGACAGTCACCTGTCAGTGGATGACCCTCAGCAAGATCACCTCCTGCAGGAGCTGCACATCAGGGGGATCGGACTGGGCCCCAGGAAGCCAGAGATCCCCCACCTGTGTGAATATGACCCGGCTGCAGGGGGGACGGGGGAGACAG